AGCCCACGCCACCTGTCACCCAAGTCCTCCAGCCGCGCCTCCCCGAAGAGTTTAAGATGTTCGCCTGCGCCAAGCTCGCCTGCACCCCGGCTCTGGTATGCAGCCCATGCTGGGCCGAGGTGGGGCGTGGAAGGGAGGCCGAGGGCCGGGCCTTCTGTCCGGGAGCGCCCGCGTTGTTGAATGGTGCAATCTTCAGGCAAAGCATGTTATCTTGGAAAAGACTTTTTCCTTGCTCTTTAACCCCAATGCCCTTTCCTCGTAATCCTGAAGGGAATCTTACCCCTCTCCCCATTACAAGGACTGTGGAGAGCTGCCGAGGCCTAGTCTTAAGCTCACATCCCTTCTCGGTGTAGGTCAAGCCCTCGTTGCCCACCTATCCCCTCCCGGACCACCATCCTTGGCTAGGGGTGAAGGTTAGCGTGCTATGGACGATGCAGAGTTTGCCGAGGCCCAGTCCACCGCAGCAGTGCTCTCTATTGCTTGTCTGTAGGTCAAACTGGTTGCTGCAGAGGGAGGGACTTTGCCTCCCCCCTGTGTGGGCGGAGGAAGGTGGTGCTGGAGCCCGAAGAAGTATTTGGCTCTGCGATATTACTTCCATAACCGTTTTGGAGACTTGAGGAGTAAAGTGAACATCTACGGAAATTTGTCTTGCAGAATCGGGGCTTGGTTTTCAAGGGGTTTTCTGTGACCTTAGTTTAGTGGACACTCAAGGGCAGAGAAAGTTGGACCGGGAAGAGTCCTTTGTAGTCTGAGTATTCCACCGTTTATTCCCACACTGATGTAGAATTATTTGTACGGCTTTTGTGTGTCATGATAAAATGAACATAAAGGGATATCGTGGGAAAGGTTGGAGCTCATTTTAACTATTTCATATGCAAGCATTTATATTTGTTGGTCCATGTAAGCTTGCCAAGAAATAAAGGTGTTCATTTTCTAATTCTACAGTTTAAAGGTAACCCTTTTTATTCTCTTTTAAACGGTTTCTAGAATTTTGTTCAGATTGTTTCAGATACATTCTATAGCAATTTCTAATGAAATTCATTGGGCACATCACAACTTTTATCAAAATTGCTTTATGTATTGAAGATGACCAAACAGCAAAGAAAGTGAAAATCCATATAGAAAAATTGTGAATCTAAGCAGAATATCCTTTATGGTTCCTATTTCTTTTCCAGAACTCATGGTGTAAAGAGGACCACAGAAGTCTTCGTTTTCCTAACCCTTGCAATATTTTTTTCATTAACAGATCCGAACTGGATCCAGGGTTGCATACAGACCAATTGCTGCATCAGTGTTATCGCGACCAGAAGCTAGGCCTGGAGAGGTAATAATAGTAAAAGAAATTGGTCCTTGATGGGCCTTTTTTATTTTAGATTTGGGTTTAGTTTAGGTTGAGGGGCAGCAACAAACTCATTAAAATGGAATTATGTGAAGGCAGTTCATTTCCAGTTTTTATCCAAGATGCATAGAAAATGAATCAATGAAAGACTCTTTCTGTATCCAAAATTTACCCACTTGAGTTGGCCAAGAAATATTTTAGTTGGTATTTATATTTAAAATTATCTTTCAGTTATTTTTCTTTATTTAAAATGATAATTTCTACTCAAAATTCATTGCCATCAAGTTGGAAACAATTCATGGCTTCCCCTCCAGTGGGTTTTCAGAGGCTATAAATCACACAAGCGGAAACTGCCTATTGTTCTCCCATGGAGTCACTGGTGGATTCAAACTGGCTGCCTTTAAGCTAGTAACACAACTCCCTGTGGACTACACCAGGAGAGTTCTTTATTGTCTACAATTTACTGAAAAGCCTCTATCTGGCTACTTAAATGCTGTATTATAATGCTCCAAGCCCTTTTCTGTTATGCCATACTGTGTCTTACTCAAATTTTGACAGCAGAGTAATAAATACTTAACTGTGATTACTGATTTGACCTTTGCTTGTTTCTCTAGGGTTCAGCAGTGTTTAGTGGAGCCCAGAATGGTGTGTCTCCACTAATCCAGAGGGAGTTTCAAACCAGTGCAATCAGCAGAGACATTGATACTGCTGCCAAATTTATTGGTGCAGGAGCTGCAACAGTAGGAGTGGCTGGTTCTGGTGCTGGTATTGGTACAGTCTTTGGCAGCCTCATCATTGGCTATGCCAGGTAATTATTTATAGTTTTAGAACATGCTTGAGTTCTAGAATACCTCATATGCATAGTGTTGAACTAGTCTTCTACACACACAGTTAATATCAATTAGTGGTGGGAGAACATGCTTGGACAGTTGAGATTATAATTACTTTATGTCAAGTGCATACTCTTCTTGCACTATATATTCTATGTATTCTAAGGCTTTATATATATGCATTGTCTCAATCCTCACAACATTCTTTAAGTTAGGCAAGTTAAAATCTGAAGGACCATTCACAGAAACATTAGTACTTGCCCAAGATTTCAGCTACGAAATGTCAAAGAGTAAATTTTAAATAGTCTTTGAGTTCAGTGTTCTGCACTCTTCATTGCTAAAATATATTGAAACATAGTTAAAATTACTGGGGTATTATTTAACAGCTAATTTCTAAAGTTTAGTAAAAGATAGCAAGTTCCTACACACAAATGTTATATTTATCCAACATCTTGTAATGAGAAGAAATAATATTTCTAAGTAACATGCTTGTTTTTTCTCTCTTAGAAACCCTTCACTGAAGCAGCAGCTGTTCTCATATGCTATCCTGGGATTTGCCTTGTCTGAAGCTATGGGTCTTTTTTGTTTGATGGTCGCTTTCTTGATTTTGTTTGCCATGTAACAAATAACTGCTAAGAGATGTTGTCATTCATATTAATTATGGAACCTGTATAATTCTGTGTATCTTACTGTGACTCCAGAAACTAGTGTGGGTGTCATGGAAATGTACATTATTTCCAAAGTCATTTCATTAAAGGTGAAAACTTTAATAATTTTTTTCTGTGATTTGTACTTAACCTAAATTTATTTCACAACCAGATGATACAGCAGCAATCTCACTGAAAAACATTCAAATGTAATTTTTTTTTTAATTTAGGTTGTTTATTTTTCATTTCAATGAACATCTACAGAGATTTTGGGATTCCATTCATTCATTGTTGCACCCTTCTCCCTGCAGAAACCCCTCCCCCCTTCCCCCCTCGAATGTAATTTTTATGGGAGTTCTTTTATGTAGTTTCCTGTATGTTAACATAAAAAGCTCAAGTGTCAGTGTTGTGAACATCTGTAAAATAGGATTAAACCGAGATAGATCATGACATAGGCGGTTTTGTGTGTTTTCAAGGGCCAACATGAATTGCAACACTTGGCAGCAGAATTGTCTTCCAGACTGACTTGGTTGGTCCTGCAGTTGGATCTAAAGTAAATCATGCCAGTTTGAAAATTGGCCCTGTGTAAAATAAGGGGAGGGGCAGTTCCCTCCCAATTGTTTATAATAAAACATGTCAATATTTTAAGAAATAAACCACTAACTAGAAACTAATTTCTTAAAGTTCTCATTAAAAAACCATTAAGACTTTATTTTGTAAAAAAAAAATAACAAAACTGCACTGGCTACATTTCTTAAGCCAAAAATTGCTCAAGTCTTGCCTACTGCTGCCAGTAATGAATGTTTTCTTGGGAGTGATAATGAGTTCAGCCTTTTTTTTTAATACTCCACATTTGTCATAACTGTCTTTGCCCATTGTCAAGAAATGGTGCTACTAGGAAATTATATTTCTCAGCTTTCAAGCAAATAACTGCATTGTGTCACCTGTCATCCCAATTTCAGAGTTTATTTGAAGGGTGAAGTGACAATTAGGAAAGTTACATTTCCTCTTTACAGTACCCTCTGCCTAATTTTCTTTCACCTGAGCCATAGCAATCCGTTAACAGAACAGTAGAGCAGCCCCACAGCGTTTCCTTAGGGTATAATCTTTATACAACAACTGTCCTCTTTCTGCCAGCGAGCAGCGGGTGGATTTGAACCCATGACCACAGCTGACCGCTTTAGCCACTATACCATTAGGGCTCTTCCCTAAGTGCAGACCTACTAAATTAAAATCTTTGGACAGAATACACCTTTGTAAAGTTCCTAGGTGGTTTTTGTTCATAGTACTTACTACTGGCAAATCACTGATTTCTACATAACAGATTCATTCCTGTCTTCTGTAAGTTTAACCCAGAAGCTCAAATCTAAAGAACTAGAGATGTAGGCAGTCCTTGGATTATGCATTCAAGTCTATAACCTGTGTTAAAAATGGAAGTTACATGCAATGAATGTTAATAATTATAAATTGGGTGCTACTATAATATGATAACATTTTCATGTGTCTGGAAGTGTTTATGTACTAAAACATACTTAGCTGACATACATGAATTGTCTAATTGTTCTTATTTAATGTACAAATTAAGGACAGAATTGGGAATGGAATACATTCATAATTCAGGATGTACCTATGCCACTTTTTGGTTGATTTGTCTTGATCAGATTCCTGAAGCCTTCACTGCCTTTGTTGAAAAGCAATAACTAACATTTGAACTCAGAAGGTAGAAAAACAACACAAATATCCTTCAGCTAATGAATGCTAACCAGGATGTGTTCCCATGTAATAGAATATGATTTGACCAGGAACTAGAATCATCTGTCATTGAAGACATTATGAACTTTGAAAAAGATAAGTGAAAGAAGTCCGATGTCAAAGATATTGCATGATTGATTCATTATATGAAATACCAGAAAAGGTAAATCCATGGAAAAGAAAGCAGATTAGTGGTTTTCTGGGATTGAACGGGGGAGGAGACAGGGGAGTGGCTGCTGCTTGAGTACAAAGTTCCTGTTGGAGATGATGAAAATGTTCTAGGACTAGATAGTGCTGATGGTTGCACAACATTGTGAATTGTGGTTTTTTTTTTCTTTTTATTATTTTTGTGTGAGTGTACCCTCAAATCAGATCTGACTGGTACAGGAGGAGATTGTCCCTCCTTCCCCGGCAGAGCATCTGGTGGATTCGAACCATGCGCCTCTGGGATTGTACTTGCAGCTCCTTACCACTAGGCCACCAGAGCTCCCCTGTGAATTGTAAGTTTTAAAATGGCAAGTTACTGCTACATGTATTTCACCACAAATGAATTCTATATTATGGATGCAACCAAATAAAGTCCTAACAAATTTTTAAAACAAAAAGGAACTAATAAAATTAGTCCTTTATTACAAGTTCAGTTTTAGTATCATCAGTCTGGCTTACAGCTGTGTTAGGTGCCAATTTGATGACTGAAGACCCTAAAATGGATTCTGGAACAGGTTTTTACCAAGAGCTAATCCAGTTGATGGAATTCCTGAGACATGAAAAGGGCCATATCGCTTCCATGTAACTGACCCAAAAAGAAAAATCTTTAGAAAAGCCATATAATTTGAAAGTATAATTGTGGGCTAGTTTGCCTAGGAAAAAAACTCATTGCTACTGAGTCAATTTTGACATAACAGTGACAAAAGTTTGAGACTTTTACACTTTCATAGGAGGAAATCAAATCTGCCCCACAGACCACCTGGTTTAATGAGAATTGCTGACCTCACAGCAACATGACAGACACTTCACCACCAGAGCTCTAATTTTATGGAGGAGGAAGGGAAAACTGCATCGAAGGATCAGCACTCCATCATCAGTCACTAATCAGACCACTGTGATTTAGAGGGTTATAACTGCTGGTTTTAGAAGTAAATTGCCAGGCCTTTTTCCTTCCATGTCAGTGTGGAAGTTCAAAGGAAATCTATTCATTACAATACCAAAGTGCAAACTTCCCTTGACAGATGGATAGTGACTGTGTATTAGGTTAATCAGCTGTACATTAACCCCCGTCTATTGCATGGAAGGTGAGAATTCTACCTCTGAAGCATCAGTGCTTCACATTCTTATATTTCCTAAGTTATTACTAAAAGTACATCATTGAAATATAACAGGGTAAATATTTACTGCACAGTACATGTCTGCCTATTGCTATAAGATGTATCAACTTCCTGAAGGTAATAACTATACAAGCTAATATTAATGATGAATGCCTCTCAGTTCTTGGGTTTATCAGAGGCTGAAAAAGATGCCATTTTCCCATCAAATACCAAATAAATTATCTATACTGATCAGTTTAAAACTCCCAACAGGAAAAACCACCCTAGAGGACTAATTAAACTTTATTCAGAATGTTTTTCTAAAGTCAGCGATGCATTTCATGTTTTCAGACACACTTCTTAATTTGATAAATGTTAAACCAAACCACTGTCAGTAGTTTTTGACTCAGCGATGGTGTAGGACAAAGTAGAACTATTCCTTAGGACTTCCATGCTATAAATCTTTGCCAGAACAAACTGGCTCCTCTTTTTCCCCTCAGAGAAGCTGATATTAGCAGCCCAAAACATAACACACTGAATGACCTAGGTTGCTCCTTTCCTTTATACAGGTATGTGATAACTTTCATCCCTTTTGGACTGACTGGAGAAGTCTGACATCTAGCCAGACACTAGGCTTCTTGTTGAGTTTACTCCAACTGGTGGCCACCCCAAATGTGCCAAGAGTGGAAGAGGATTTTTAAGGGTGCGCAGATGACCAGGACTATCCTCCAAGATGCCTTTGAGTAGATTTGAACCTCCAACATTTCAGCTGGTAGTTGAGTGCCTAACCATAACAACAACCAGTGCATGAGAATGTCTCAGCCTAAAATAAAATTTGTACAGGGTCACAAGTGTGCACACACACAAGGCTTTTTAAGCTATGAAGCCCCTATCACTTCACTACCTTTGTTGATATCTGTCTCCGATAGTCTTCAGTTTAACTGAAACTTAATCTTGGTTAGTCTTCTGGGAGTATACTATCTCCTTCTAATAAAGAAGCAGGGGTGGGTTGTTGAGCCTAACTTGCTACATTCTACTAATATGCAACCAGATCTAACATCAGCAGTTACCTGAACAAGGATGGATTATTTTTTTGGGGGGGGGTGGATGGATTATCTTAATAGATCAAATCCGGTTCATTTTGATAGAACCATTTTCTAAATCCTGCCTGTTGATCCAGCAATGCCAGCTAAGAGGTCTAGCAATACTTTTTAGCCATGATACAAAAAACCCGCCAAAAACAAACACCCCACCCCAAATCAGGGAACTTGAGTAAGTTAATCACTGCAATGAATTCAATCAAGTAACTTCAGTTCTCAATCACTAACCACATAAAAATTCACCAGCAGCACTATAGTCATGACTCCTGTCATGCAAAGCAAAGCAAAACATGTCTTTAGATTGTTTTGTTTGCAAGCTCTTCTTTCCTGTACTATTTCATTCTCCATTTGGTATAGGGATATTTAGCAACTGGAACAACTAAATTACTATTAATAAGTATGAAAACAATGCAAATCATAGAGATTGTAATGCTGCCACATTTAAACTGAAGACATGATTTTAGCTTAACTCATGAACTGGCAATGAACGTCAGTACAGGAAAACTGATTTACAATGCAAACACAAGTAACAATTACAGTAACAATTGCTGAACACAGACTTATCTTTTTGAGGGAAAAAATGAAATATGGGTCAACATAAAATGACATTTTGGGGTTTTATTTGAACTTGTTGTTCAGGTTGAGTATATTCTGAACAGGTTGTTGTTGTTATGTGCCGTCGAGTCGCTTGCGACTCATAGCAACCCTAT